TGCAGGCTAGAGCTGCTACTGGAACTTCAGGAAGATGAGTAGCAGTGCTCTGCCCTCTCTCCCCAGCTCCAGGGAGCAGAGGGCAGGTGGCAAAAGAGAGCAAATGGTCACGGACCTTGTGATCAACACGTGAAGGCAGATAAATGACATAGTTTAAATAAAGCATGGAGAAAAGGCAGAGAGACTGATGCAGCACCTCGCAACTCTTGTTTTCTCTTGGGGAGGATGAAATTTTTTGCAGACATCTGTGCTTCCTGGATGCTAAGGTGATACTATGTTGTGATACACAGAGAAAGAAAAAGAGATCCTGGAGCCTGCTGACATTAGCAGGTCCTCCCCAGTTTTGATCTTTATGGGTCTGTTTAGCACAGTTGCAGACTGTGTCCTTTGTGGAAGATAGGTAAAAGTCTCAGAGCAGAACTGTCTGTCCTAAGCTCCTCCCTCCAGTGCACTTGTGGGATGATGCTAACGTGAGCTTCAGGGCAACACGTGCACCAAACTGGTCCCACGGTTTCTGATAAAGGGCAGTTTGCATTAGAAGAGAGAGCAGCATCCCCCAAAACTGACATCTGTAACACAGAGGTTTGTCTTAAGGGAGGATGTAATTTGCAGTGCTGTGAATTCCACATTGGAATGTCTTTTCTTTTTGATTCAATTGCTCAGTGACATTTTTGTCAGGACTGACAGCATTAAGTGGGTCCATCAGCTTCCCAAGCATTTTTAAGCTGAAAACTACACACAGACATGCTCTCATTCCTCCCGCTGCTGCAGAGAGAGAAGCTCTGTTATTTTCTCTCTTTTTAAGTCAGGGACATATTTTTTCTAGACTTCCAAATACTGATATTTTACCGGACCTAAATACATAGTCTCTGCCCAAATAGGCTGAACTGACATCATCCTCATGAGGTCTGTTTGTGATGGGGCCTATATCAGTTATCAGATGGTAACTGTGGGAGTCTTCAGCACACTCTGCTCTAGCAGAAATGCTAAAGGAGTGTGAGGAAAAAAAACATGGTTTAGTGTGGGAAATGGGCCCACAAATCTGAGAGAGGATTTAAGAAACATAAAAAGCACAGTATTTTAGTTAATTGATTACATTTTACTTAGAAAATGCTCTTTAATTCTATTTCCATAAAAATGATACATGCTGAATCACTGCAGGAAAAAAAAAATGATTCAAGATTGTAAATATTTGCAATCTTGCACCTCCTCACTCCACTTCTTGGGAATTTTTTAGTGTCAGAGGCAGTTATTTATCTACAGCTACATCCAGTGCCCTCCTTATTGCTTCTTGCTTTTCATACTGCTTTCACGGGAGGAAGGCTTTCTAGCTTGTGCTGGTATGACCTGTCTCAAATATATTAGCATGTTCACAATAGTGTTCAGGTCAGAGTGAATAAGCTAAGCACTATAGCCTTGTTTTTTCTTCAGTCATATCTCTTTACTTATTTCTGTGAGTTATCAGGGTTTCTAGTTAAGTCAAAGCATTAAGAGGAATTATATAAAAATATGTACAGACATAGTTATTGAGTTCTCTATGAGCTTGTACCCCCATGCCCAATGAGAAGCAAGCTGTATTGTTATTCACTGGTGTTGCAAAAGTGTTCTGGAAGTGCTTCTGCTGTTTCTGTTGAAATCAGATCAAAATGCCAGTACATACTTTTAACATCACTTTGTAGAAGCAGAATAAAAGGAACGCAGCTCTTTACAAAACAGAGCCATGACAACAGGGCTCCACCTGCATCATTTATTTGCGACAACAAAATACATTTTAAAAGTTCAGATTCTGAATTAGTCTAAGAACATGTGAAGATGTTCTTTGTGTTTCCTCAAATGTATGTTCTGTATCTGGTCTTTCACTGCTTCAGCAATCTCTCAGCTGAAGAACATTGACTAGCTAAGGGCATCCAGTCTTGCGGTACATGGTTATTGAAACAGTATTGAGTAGAATCTCCAGGCCATTCAATTTTCTTTTTCACTGAGAACTATGATTCATCTGAATGAAAGCAGCTCTGCAGTGAATATTACCTGCACTTCTCTGATCAGATGTTTTCAGTTGCACTGCCTTGAAGTGCTACCTTGAACTTGGCAGGAAAAGAAGCCTATTTTTCATGGTACTTACCATATCATTCATCCAAAAGTAGGTAAATGGTTAATGTTCATGTCTGGGTTTCAACACACTCTGCTTTCTTACAGCACCTGCCACCGAAGATCTCAAAGCAATTTGTGACCATTAATCAACTGAGCTTCATGACTATTGAGCCAGTATGTTATTACACAGACTGGTAAACAAGGATGTGAAAACACATCAGATTGTCAGGAGGGCTGTAAGAGATGAGCAGTAGCTTTGTCTTCCTCTTTTTCCCCTAGAAAAGGACTTTTCTGTCTGCTGTTTCATCTAGAGGGACACAGAAAGCAGCACCAGTAAGGGCAGCAGACTGGTGCCAGTACTCCTGCCAGCAAAAGATACTGAGCAAAGAAACATGTGTTTTAGTCCAACCAATACCAGTTAGAATCCTGCCACTGCTGTTGGCATGGTGTCCTGGACCTTGCAAGTGGGCTGGAACCGGCTGACTCCTCAAGTGGCCATTGAAAGGCTATTGAAAATTCTGGTTCCTGGGGACTACAAAATCCTAACGCAGTGTGGCCAAAGCCAGGAGGAGTTACAGACCACTGTTATTCTTTGCAGGCTGGACATGTCCCATGTGTTGCCAGCTAAAAAACTGCAGTAGATCAGTTTACTTCCTCACCGATCTTTTCTCACCCAACCCCTCCACATTTTGCAGTGATCATATTTTATCACATGCCAAAGGCTGAAACATTATTATATCTGCACCTAATGATCTAATCAAACTAGCTTTAATCAGTTTAGCTCAAGCACCAAGAGTGGGAAGATGCAGGCTTGCTGTAGGCTATGCAACCCCACCAGGATGCCCACGCAAGCAGCTACTCCTGCTGCCCTCTACTCTACCACAACTCACCTGAGAGTGGTACCTAACAGATGCCCTGGCTACCCACACACCTGTAATCACAGTGTCTGCACCTTCACAACAGGAGAGAGCCCCCAGCCTGAGGAATTCACACTTCAAACAGACAAGGTAGAGAAACAAAATTAGAAATTGAAAACAAAACTAGGAATGATTATCTGGAGTCAGCAAGAATGGTAAGTGTGAAGGATGTATGTCCAAAATCAAAGGCTGCTCGCTGCTTTTATTAGCCATGAGAGCTCCACCTTGGAGAGATCAGAGGCAGAAAACCTGAGGCTGAGCTCATAAATTGAGTGTTTGGTCCTCTTCCCTTCAGTGACTCCATGACATGTTAGTATGACATTCTTGTAAATGTTTCAAAGACAAGTTTTTGAAGCGTAGTGCTTTGCTATGGTCCCTGCAGTTGGGAAGGGCTATACAAACATCTGCCATACACTCCTCAAACAAAATCCAATCAGAGCTTTTGTTTACATGGTTTGTCCTTAAACCCAGTCCTGAGCTGCAACTTTCAGCCATAGCTGCATCATTAAAAATGAACCTTTTATTCTAAACACAGTACATTTTGTAACAGGAAAATCAATATACAGTAACCCACATACTGCAGGCAACAGCTGTAGGACATAATCGGATGACAGAAAGTTGAGAACAGTATTTTGGCAGTTACATGCTCAGCTAATCTTTCACTTTGGGTTTTAAATGGCACCAAGCTATAAAGATCAGAGATTTCTCTCACACCTGGTGACCCACAGCTACACAAAATGAAGAAACCAGGACACCACTGTTTTCAACATTCAAGGCTGAAACATCTAAAATACAAAAAACACATCAGTTGTTACTTATTTTTCCCTTTATAGGACTCTATAAGAGAATAGCTCTTCCCAGAGCTACAGTGTGTTAACAACAGCGTCAGTGATCTCACAGCCTTTAGCAAAGATATAGGAAGACACTTAGGCATGAAGAATACCTTGAGAAGATTACTAAATACTTTTCACTGCCTTCACTTTGTCTGTGGGTAAAGGTGAAGCCACAGATGTGCCTGGTATACAGGATCAGAGAACACACATAAAGATCTTAATAGAGATTTTGATCACCTGTTACTTTTTCTTTATTAATAGAAAGCTTACAATTAGAAACACACTACTCCACGTATGTTGTTATGTCATCATTAAACACTGAATCAGCAAGGAAACTAGGGATTTTTGGAACCTACCTATTTGTTTTTAGAAGGTGGGAGATGATTAATTCTCTAATATAGCATGTGATTCACTTTGATTACAAAATAAATACATTTTCTTTGCAAGCAAAAGGCAAAGGGCACCAGCTCATTTTGTACTGAAATTGCTTTTCCCACCACATCCCACCGAGTTTATTTTTTCTCAGATAATGAAACTTGTTTTTTAAAGGCTTCCAGTCCAGATTTATGTGGCAGATGCTTTAATTAAGATTGATATATTCCATTTGTTTAGCTTTCAGACGTTGATATGGAAGTTTTAACTGGAACTGCATTGCCCTCTAGCGCTGTGACGGGGCCGGCCGCAGTGATGTAACCAGCACAGGCAGCGTGAGCACAGGCAGCCAGCTCATGCGGAGCTGCCTAAATGCTGACAAACCCTTCCTGGAGACGCCTGTCACAGCAGCAAGACAGGGGCATCCTTCCAACAGCACCACAAATGCGCGAGGGGAATCAGTAAACCTGTCTTTTATTTCAGGGACGTCATGATCGAAAAAGCTACTTTGGAGCTCCAGCCAAGACGTGTTCCTGCTAATTTCTGTTCAAACGAGTTCGTAGGAGAAATTAACCAAGTTTGAACAGCCTATTACTTCTGACAGGCTTCAGAGGACTTTGTGCTGTGCAAGTTTTACGTGCTCATAGCTGGCAGCTGGGGAGATGAGTTCTCAACCTAAACCTGGCCGGGGCTTTGCAGCAACTTCTTGGGTGGAGAGATAACTTTCAACTGAGCTCAAATCATCTGTGTGTTGTGCAAGGGATCCAATCATAACTTGCTATGGAGGATGATTTTTAAGATGAATACCTACCTTGGCAATAAATCCAATTCATCGATACCTGGATATTTGAAGGGGTCTGCACTAAATAATGGCAATCTTTCTGCAAACAACTCCAATGAGACAGCAAGCAACCTGGATTCACCTGCCTTGGATGTCAATAGGGCGATAATTGTGGGGCTTATCCTCGGTGCCTTTATACTTTTTGCTATTGTAGGTAATATCCTGGTCATTCTCTCTGTTGCTTGCAATAGGCATTTAAGAATCCCTACAAACTATTTCATAATTAACCTCGCAATAGCAGATTTGTTGCTGAGTTTTACTGTCCTTCCATTCTCTGCTACACTGGAAATCCTTGGCTACTGGGTTTTGGGGAGGATATTTTGTGATATCTGGGCAGCAGTTGATGTGCTTTGCTGTACAGCTTCTATTTTAAGTCTATGTGCAATTTCTATAGATAGATATATAGGGGTACGTTATTCTCTCCAGTATCCAACTTTGGTGACAAGAAGAAGGGCAATTTTAGCTCTCGTAGGTGTCTGGGTCCTTTCCATGGTGATTTCTATTGGGCCTCTTTTGGGCTGGAAAGAACCAGCACCCAAGGACGACAAAGAGTGTCGTATCACTGAAGAACCATTCTATGCTTTGTTTTCTTCCTTGGGGTCATTTTACATTCCTTTAATCGTCATCCTTGTGATGTACTGTCGGGTCTACATAGTGGCAAAAAGGACTACTAAAAACCTGGAAGCTGGGGTTATGAAAGAAATGTCCAACTCCAAGGAGCTGACTTTACGGATTCATTACAGGAACATTCATGAGGACACATTAAACAGCACCAAACCCAAGGGTCACAATCCCAGGAACTCCTTAGCTTTCAAACTTTTTAAATTCTCTAGAGAAAAGAAGGCAGCCAAGACGTTGGGAATTGTGGTTGGCATGTTTATCTTGTGCTGGCTACCTTTCTTCATTGTTCTGCCGTTAGGTAAGTTGGTTATCAAGGGATTGCGAGGGGTGGGGGAGGAAGATGGTTAGCTATTTACCACGAAAATATCACCAAAAAAATGATAAATAGGTCTCATATTGAGAATTTCAGTGAACAGATGAAAGGGAGGCACGTGAAAGCCATTACATCTGATGCTGGCTTTTTAAGACTCATGCTGAAACTTTGTGAAGTGTGCAGCCTGCAGAAAGCCTGCTCATCAGGTAGTCCTTCTCAGCAGTGGGGCAGATGTCAAATCAGGGGACAACATCTTCAGAGTTTATACATTAAATCCCCCTTTACGGTCTTTGTTTGAATTGAATGATGTTTCAGAAACATTTTTATTGGATGCTTTAACAAAAATCCTAGATAAGAACCAGTTTAGTTGAGTGTTAGATGTTTGGACTATCACGCAGTAGATCTTCTGGCATTATTAGGGGTCCTAAATGGAAATTAACCTGATTTAATGAGGAGGTACAGAACTCCCCTGTGCTTTGGGAAGCTTAAAAAGTTCTATTTCTCAGTTCAGATATTACTGATCAAATCTCAAAAGCAAATACATGAAACCCATGGACCCCCACAGAAAGGTTCTCATTGATTTCAACAGGTCTTAGTACAGGCATTTCAGGAGACTGCCATGTGAGCAGTTGGCAGTCACTTTGTTAACTTTCAACTTCAAAACATTATTAAATCATTTGATGTAGCCTTAACACATTGGTCTGTGCTCCCAAGTGCTTGTGAAATTTGCTTGCATGGTCTTTAATACCAGCACTATCTCTGAAGGGGAATATCTCAGGACACTGAATTACTAAGCTCTCAAAAATATCTGTCCAAAATTCATTTCTCTAGACAGAGACAACCTGGCAGCCTAAATATGGAAAGAGGTGGGAAAAGAAAAGGGAGAAAAAACATTTATTAATGTTCTGTATTCATATTTACTTAGTTACCCTACAAAAACATTGCTAAATGAGTGCTAAGCGAATATTTTTAGACACTGTTGCGGAAAACTACACTGAATCCAGCAACCTGCTCCTAGGGAAGTGTTATAATTGTACTGAATATGTAATATCATTTAGACTAGCATCTTTATTGCAAGACAACTACTTAAGCTATTGCAGGGCAACTTTATAAACCTCTAGTTTATGGCATCATAAACTTAAAGATCTTTATGATTCAAGATCTGCATAAAAGTAATATTAAGGATGTGAAAAATTCCAAACAGAAGGAAAATCATGAGCAAAGTTCTCTTTGGCTGCTGAAGTTTAATTCTTTGTGCATAACACAGAGCAAGTTTCCAGCTATTGCAAAAATACATACCTGTGGATAGAAACGTATTTTTACCATATGGAACCAGTAGTAGTACTAGATAAGTAGGTAGTAGGTCATGATCCCTTGCCAAAGTAGATTCCCTCCTTGATTTTGAATTATTGAAGGAACTTTGGAGAAAAAAGCAAATGTGAATTGCTCTGTGCAGCAGAGCACATCTGTAGCTAGCAGGAGTCAGTATTGCTACTAACACTGTTCAATGAACACAGATGCTGACCAGTCCATTAAAAGCGTGATGGTCACAGGGCAGACGCAATGTGAGAAACAATTAAGTTTCTTGAAAGAGTATCAGTTTTCCCTCCGGGAAGTTATTTCAAAACTCCTGGTCTTTTCTGGGATGTTTAAGAGTCGTTGCTTAAGACACCTGAGAGGAGAATTTACTGCTTGTCACAATATGGTTTTATCTCTCATATAAATTGTGTTCAAGACATCAGTGAGGTGACAGGCTGAGAGTGTCCACAACAGCACACTGTGCTGGCAGAGATGCTGGGTTGCTGAAAGGCTAAACCCACTGCCATGGGCTCCGACCCAGCACAGACTGAATGCCTCTAACCCCCAACACACTCACATCAGCACTGTGAGCACCTGGCACCCCATGAAGCAGAGGTTCAGAAAGAGTTGCCATCGTGTCAGAAGGGTGAAAAGATCAGTCTCTTTGAGTGGCAATACACACTGCTGGCTCTTCTGTCCTCTGTTTCAGGACTCTTAACTGCCAGCCTTCAGTCTAGGAATGGGGAGACAAGAGGTATACATAGTATCTGATACAGTATCCAAAAGCATTTAAATAGTAGATACTTTCCCTTTGTTTTGCTGACTAGGAAGGGGGCTGGTTTTGTCCTTGTCCGTGATCTCTGTTTTTAATTTATTCAGCACACTCCAGAACCTTGCACTTTTCATCTCTGGGTATCAGTGCAAAGTTAATTAACCATGTTAGGCATGACTAAAACATTGCTCACTGAAACAAGTGAGGAGAAGACCTTTTCCTGACATGCATAATGCAGCCATTTCTAACTGGAGAAAAGGATAGAGCAGTGGAGGAAGAGTTCTTAAAGAGCTTGCTGTGTGCTGCATTCTTCATACCAGAAATCTTTCGCCTGAAGTCACAAAATTAACTGAAAAGCTACGAAGAACCCTTACACAAAGCACACAAAGGTATAAAATCAATTTCAGTGACAGGCAAACTGTAGAATCCAAAAGGTACTGATGATTTACAGAACTCTCCATAGGTGCCCTGGCCTGCTTCTGTCTCAAGCCACTCTCTCATCAGTGCAGGACTGCAAGCTGTAATACCTGTTCTGCTACTGAGTCCAGATGAGATGCTTACCTTCCCTATAATGGAGGGACAGGCTTCTTCCTTAGCCTGTATTTTTCACACCTTATATTTGCACTGTTAATCCAAATCATACCCTCATATCTGCAGCTTTACTAATGATTTCTTTTTTGTTGCCTGTTTCACTCACTAAAGCCATGACTTTGCAGAATGGTATCAGCAAAGCAGCCCGGCGGTTCTGAGGATCCAACCATCAAACATTTGATGAGTTGGTAAATGTCATTTCTACAACACCCTAAAACCATGTCATAACAAATCTGCTTATACACAGAGTTCTCAGGTCTTCTACTAATTTCCCAGACAAAATTATAATTCTTCCACTCTGGCATTTCAATATATCCCACATCTCCCATTCTGATATTCCGAAGATGGCAGATATACACTGGGAATTGATGCAGTGCTGAAAGCAGGGATATTGCTCGAATAAATATTCCACGACAAAGGAAAAGAAATAATATTAACACTTAGTGTTTTTCAAGCAAGGATCAAAAGGTTGTGCAGGGAAAGCTCTCTAACAGAGCTCTGTGTCTGAGAAAGGATAGGAATGACAGCACTGACACTATGATGTACTGAGCATCATGGAAAGATCGGCACAAAGAATGACCCACAATCTGTTTTCGAAGGACTCATCCACGCTGCCTTTAGTGTTAAGCACCTTATGATGCAGCAAAACTGGTATCAAAGAGAATTGTGAGCAATTTTTTATTCCAGTAGCTATTCTTTCTAGATGGCAATAGGTCTATAGAATATATGTATTGCTCACATTCATAAATACTCCATGGCTTTGTGAACAGCTGTCTTGCCACTCAAAATTATTTGTGGTTCAGCATAAGAAATAAAATGAAGACATAGATGTCTTTGAGACAACTTGTTGTGCCATACGTTCAGTAACTCAGCTTTGAAAAGTAAGTATCTTGCTTCTTTAAAACTAACGTTTTTTTCTTCCCCCTTATACAAATCTTTTCTTAGGCACCAGGACTATATTAAATATGCAAAATGCTGAGTAAAATAGATTATTTTTATCTAAAGACTAGAGCCCTGCAGCAATCAGGTAATGATCATTAGAACTCTCTCCTTTAAACAGAGTACCCAATTTTATGCCAATACCTTTATTTAAAAAATTACTCCAAAATGAAGGTGTATATGTCTCCCCTCACTACTTGGTAAAAGTTTACTCTCATTCCTGTGAGTTGAGATATCAGAGTGGGGTTGCCAGTCGTCTCCCAGATACACTCACCCACCCTGCAAAGGGAAAACTCATCACCTTTAACCAAAGCCTATTAACTTCCCCAGCTTAGCTCCAGTAGACATCAGCAGAGCATTATTCACTTCCCAGTTCCCTAATTTCCCCTGCTCCCACAAAACCTGTGAGCTTACACTGAAGTCAGAACCAAAATTTCTGTAACTTAACTGGCCATGCGATTAGGTCCCAAGAGCCTCATAATGAATGTACAACTGTTTTGACTGTCCTTATGTATTGAAATCTTTCTAGAAAATAATAAAGAACAACATAAAAATATTCTGCATGCTACAGGTCAGCCAATACAAAATTATTCTTAAAATAAAATGTTATGTGAGTATGTAGATTTATGTTACATCAGGCCAACCTCTGCATCTCTGCACCAAGAATACCAAATTAGGCCCCTTAGTTTCCCATGGGAAACACTTCAAGGCAATAGGTCCAGTGTCGTCAATGCTACTGGGTTCTGCTTTCTGAAAGGCTTTAGGTCTGGTTTGTCTTTCATCTCATTTTGGTCTCGCCCCAGCTTCCCCTCTCTAACTACCCTGGGTCTCTAGATTTGATGCCCTCAAGTTAACGGTTAGACAAAATTTGGACAAAGTAATGATATATGTGGCAATCTGATCCTCTGCCCTCTTGTAGATCAATCTTTGGTACAACATTCAGTTGCACAGGTGATCGCAGGAACCCGCTCCTCCTCTTTTCTGTCCAATTCCTGTAAAACTAAACGTCATAAGGGCATTTCTTAACCAGTACAGCATGTTTTGTCGCATGTGGAGGACTAGATTATTTCAAGATGATCCATTTTACTGCTAAAATAGCCTCTCCTAAAACCTGGCTTAAGCCATTTGGTTTGCAAAGGATGCCAATTACCAGTTACTTACAGGCTTTTATCTTTCAGAACAAAGTTGTTTGTTATATAAGCAGATGAAACTGCACAATTATGGGGTACTTCCTATATAGGCTTTTGATTTGCAGGTCAGAGGAACAAAGGAAATCTGGAAGTGTACAGTCCTACAAAAACAAATACACAAAGCAATACAGAAAAAAATACAAAGAAATCAACTTGTGTCAACTATTCAACCTCAGAGGTGGCAGCAACTCCCA